TGTATATATATATATGTATATATATACACATATGTATTTATATACATATATATGTATTTATATATATTCATATATATTTATATACATATATATATGTATTTATATATATTCATATACAAGTCCAGATGACATGATTCAACCTTTTTTGTTGTTATATACCTGGATGACTGAGAAAACAAACTTTGTGTTATATTCATATATATTTTTATACATATATATATGTATTTATATATATTCATATATATTTATATACATATATATGTATTTATATATATTCGTATATATTTATATACATATATACATATATATGTATTTATATATATATACATATATATTTATCTATATTTATTTATAGATATAAATATATATATGTATATAAATTACATATATATGTATTTATGTATGTACATATATATTTATCTATATATATTTATAGATATATATATATATATATATATATATGTATATAAATTAAAACTCTGATGAACCAGATTCTACAAAAACCTTACATTTAAATTTTTATAGGTTTTCATCATCATTTGATGTATTTGCACTCATTGTGTCTACTTTTAATATTCATTTTAAATGTGTGGTTTTCTTTCTTGTTCACATATATACATTTTATTTTTAGCTTTGCTTTAAAGTTCTTGTTTTGTGATTTGTACATTCGTGAGTTAAAATAAAGTTGAACTGAAGGTCGTCTCTTCTTTAAACATGTTTGAGGGAAATATTCCTGATATCCAATAGTTTTGTGTCTTTTTATGATTTTCAGCTGAGTTAACAGTCATTAAAGTGAAAACAGGATTTCATGATGAAGCTGGCACCGTCTTTTTTTTTTTTAAATCTTCAACGCTCTGCTGGTCTCGCACGACACTGCCCGCAGTCACACGATCCTCTCCTCCGGAGGCGGAAGCTGGGAGGCTCATCCTTCCAGCTCCAGCTCAGCTGGTGACTCACAGAGGCCGTTCCAAGGCTCCAGCCGCGCGTAATCATGAAGGTCCGACCCGCGCAGACAGGCGGGCAGAGACGGGTCTGCGACGAACGGTGGAAGCGATTTTAAAAAACCTTTTACGTGTAAAAAAAAAAAATCATTTTTAAATCGCTTCAGCATTTTTTTAAAAACATTTTTTGTATAAAAACAAAATGTTGTTTTATTTAAAAATCGCTTCCAGCGTCCGTCCCAGACTGTTCAGTCCGCCTGACTGCCGGGTGAGATCGGGATTCAGCCTTCATGATTACACGCGGCCGGGGTCTCGCAACGGCCATCTGCGAGTCCCCATCTCCAGCTTTGCAGTGACCTGCAGAGCTCTGAGCACACAAGGCTGGTATCTGGAACCCGAGTCAGCACATCGAAGGATCTTCCGCGGTGACCAGCTGAACTTGGAGCCGGGGAGATGACGTCCTGCCCGGCCTGGCGCTCGGTGGTTCCGGAGGGAGGATCGGGGTACACCAGCAGAGCTCCATCCAGCTTGCTCTGAATTGTGTTGTCGGCCACCAAGCACAAAAAATGTCAGCACATCAGCATTAGACCAAGATGTTGTCAGTATTGTTTTTAAAATCTTTAAAATAAGTCCAGGCTGCTCCAGTCCGAGAAATTGCAAATGGCGGATTATTGTTTTGAAACGTTTCTGAAGGATCCAGTGACTCCGCCCCCGACCAATCAGTGACCGACAGTGTACTGACATCACGTTTTTGTACCTCTTCGTACCGGTTAGAACCACAGAGCCAAGGGTACTGAAAATAGTAACAGGTGCTAAGTACCGGTACTAATGGAAAAGCCTCAGAACAGGGCCAAGTAGGGTCGAGTCGGCCCGTACCGGAGCTGAGTGAAGCTGACACCCCACCCACTTCCAAAAGTAAAGCAAATAGTCTGAATGGTTAGTGCTCCGTTAGTGCTGGTTTGTGCCGTTAAAATTTTCATTTGTGCTGCTTTGGTTTATGAGATATTAAAAGTTATAATTTTGACCTGTGATAGACGCTCAGGCGCGTTCACGCGTGTTCAGGCGCGTTCACGCGTCCTTTATAACCGCAATCAGGTACTAAAAGGAAACATTTACGACAGTTGTGTTTTTGTTGTCAAATCTGATCCACACAATTACAGCCGGAGCGCGCGCCCGCCTTAAGTAAACGCTCTGCCCTGACGTGTGCGTGAACGCGCCTGAGGACGCGTGAACGCGCCTGAGCGTCTATTACAGGTCAAAATTATAACTTTTAATATCTCTTAAACCAAAGCAGCACAAACGAAAATTTTAACGGCACAAACCAGCACTAACGGAGCACTAACCATTCAGACTATTTGCTTTAATTTTGGAAGTGGGTGGGGTGTCAGCTTCACTCAGCTCCGTACCGGTACTAATGGAAAAGGGGCAGGAGCAGGGGACCAACGATGTGTTTTACTTTGTGCTTGAAAGACAATTGGTGATTTAAATCAGAGCAATTAAAGTAAAATAAGAATTCAAAGAGTCAGTAACACAGTTAGAGCAAAATTAGGAGTTTCAGTTGTTCCAAAAATTTTGTTTTTCTTCAGATTAGGGATCTTTATTTTTCTGTGTTTGTGCACCTTGTCTGTTAAACATGTTGGAAACATGAACAACAAATGCCTTTGATGATGTGATCAATTGTCTATAGCAGTGAGTGTCTCGTGTCTTGTAGGTGCTGCTGGCTGTATCTGGAGGTCCTTCTTCCTGCTCAATGCTCCGCCAAGTCCAAGAGGTTTGCTTGATTCAGTCTTTCTAACTAAAATGTGTTCCAGTTTCTGTCCATTCTCCGCCCTTTTGTCCATAATCTGTCCACACTTTAACTTTTGTCCATAATCTGT